CTTCTAGCTAAAGTTCAGCGCAAGGCCAAAGGGCCAACTAAACAGACGTCAAAATCATTGCCATTATCCAAGAGGATGGGTCCCACTGCACTAGAGACACGAGTGGCAAGGGGGGACTCTGTGGGACTCTGCAGGACACACAATCATCCTAGCAAACAATAGAAAAGACGACCGAACGACCGACCATGGCCATAGCATAGCCATCATCCACTTGGCCAAGTGTGGTGGTCAAGAGTCCCGCCTTAACCCGTCAGCCACATGCCTGGACGCGGCAAAAAAAAGTACCAGAAAATATATAGGAATGGGGGGAGAGCCGCCATGGGATGTGGCAAAGCGTCGCCGGTTCAAGCTCAAGTAGCTTGTGTGGCATGGCGTTTTTTTTTTTGTTTTTGTGTTGTTGCCACTGCCAACGTTTTTGACGTTTTTGTTTCGGCGGGGAGGAAACTTTTGCTCTATTTCCGCCACCGTCATCGGTGCTCCTGCCCCGTGCTGCCACTCCCGCTCCTTCTTCTGCCCTGCTCTTCTCCAGCCGCGGCTCCTGCTGTCTGTCTGACGTTTTAGCGCGCGGGTCGTTAGCATTGTGGCAGGAGTACAAGGATTTCCTGTAAGCGAGGTGGAGTCGCCAATGCGGTTGTCAGTTGCTTTATGAGACGCCTTCGCTGTCGCTGCCGCTGCCGTCTTCGCTGCCTGTCGTTCATCCTCTGTGTGTGGGTCCCCAGTCCCTGTCCCTGTGTGTGTGTCCTGGCATTTTGCATGCAAAGCGAAAATGTTGTCGCTGTTTAATGTCAAACGTTGACTTTTTTTCTCCCTTTTTTTTTTTCGTTCAGGTTCTAACCAGCAGGACAGGGCAGGACACGTTTTCATGCCCATTGCGTTGGCGGCAAAAACGGGAAAGCATCTGCTGGCTTGTTCGCGTCTCTTGTCTTGATGGATTTGTCTGGTCTAAGCCTCAATTGGTGGTCACTTGAAGCGTTGCGGGAAAGGAAGGAAGTGCTTCAGACAGCAGCGGACGTTGGCGACTGCCGATGGCATTGAATTGCCACGAAATGATATCATGAGATTATCGCGAATATCAACTACGGATTGAAGCGGATTAAGTGGTTTTTTGGCAGATGTTAAAGAGAGGTTGCAATAAAAATGATATTCCAGAATTTTGGGTGTATTTTATGAAAATATTTTTTTTTTAAATACTCATATTTTTAGGGCGTTTAAAACTCTCATTATGAATGAGCATTAATACGATTATGTTCAAAGAGTAATTTCTGGTTGTATGCGGACACTTACAGAAGATTTTAGACCCACAATAATTTCTCTGTGCGGTCAGTCAAAATTCTTTTCAAAATTGTTCCCATTTACTGTATTTTGTGTAACACTCCAAATATATTTTTTTGATATTTTCTAGATTTAGTTATCTATACTCTCTTTCGAGTAATATTTTTCCACAATTTCCTTTCATTTGGCAATCTATATTCTCATAGATTTTGTTTGAGTTCTAAAGCCGTCTACGCTGCCACTGAAATATTTATAACAAATAAAAGAAAAACGCATCGGAAATGCTTTTATTTTTGGATGGAGCATATCTAAATGTTTTTCTGGCTTATCTGGCCGGCAGCATAATCCTGCACGGGTCCCCAAAATTCTGAGAAAGAGCAGGGGGTTGCAGGACATACAATGGAGGGGATTGATATAATGTTGCTGCGAGCAGAGCACAACGGAACACAAAATAAAGAAACCTAAAGAACAAAAGAATATTCAGCTGCTCTGTATAAATGACAAGCTCAAGGCTACAAAAATTGGATTTTGTTTTTGTTCACGCAATCATATAATATTTATGACATTCGCGGGAGTTCGCTTACTCTATTTTTGCTTGCTGGATTTCGCTGTATGTAGCTCTTCTTTTGGATGGGTTGCATTTCCATTTCTATGCAGCTTTCCAATGTCACTTTCCTACTGGTACCTTGTTAGAAATGTTGCCCTAAGCGAATAGATACATTAAATTCGAATAAATTTGTATAATTTGTGGAACATTAGGAAAATTGTTGGTGTTCCTGCCTAAAGCCCTTTTTGTTCTGACTATAAACCTTAGTTGTAGTGTACGATTATTTATAGGCTACAAAAAGGTATATAATTAATTAAATAAGATGGCAAATATTCCACTGTAATGGACATAAATATAATCAGTAGCTGTACTACGATTTTTGAGTGTTATATTGTGCTCAAACTTGTCTTAGGCACATGCGAATATTCTATAAATATTCTCCATGTCTTACTTTATCTTTCTTTATATTTTTCTTAGCTTTTATTCTTTTTATTTAACTCTACAATCTCCCAACTTTCTAGCTAACTTTCCCTACTTTCTCTTTCTAACAAACTCTGCCAATTCCATCATTTTTCATCCTACTAACCCCTTTGTGTATGCTATGATTTTGATTGTCTCTCCTCAAACTTCTCTTAGCTGAACATTTTCTAACCGCCATTTCGCCTGCCTAATGCCTCTCATTTTGGGTTAATCAAGGCTCCAGATTTTAATTTTCTATCCCCAGATTTGTTCGGGTTTTTTTATATCCTTAATGAGAGTGTCGTCGTCGTTTGTTTGCGATTTCATTTGGTTTATTTACTCTCTGGGCACACATTTCCGTGCATATTTTTCGGCAACGGGACATTTGGTTTGGGGTTTGGGTTTGGGTTTGGGTTGGGTCTGGGGTCTGGTTTTCGGGCTCTGTCGCTGATTTTGGGTTGCTGCTGTGCCGTTAAAATGTTTTAATATGTAAGTAATATGTAGATATATCATCATGCCATACATGATATATGAATAGGGCGGGCATGAAGAGGTATCAACACCAAGCGGCCCAACCCCATAAAAAAAAACTTCAACTTTTATTATTACATTTTTTTTCTGCGGCCACGTGCATGTGTGTTTCTCTGCTTGTGTGTATGTGTACGCTTGTGTTACGCCCTTTTTTCGGACAGTGCATTTTTAATATAATTTTTACAACCCCATTCACCATCTCCGTATCGTTTCCCGCTTCTTCCTGCTCTTCTCCCATTTACCATTTGCTTCATGCAATTTTTTTCAGATTTCTCGTTTTATTTTTTCTTTTTTTTTTGCCTGCATTTTTTTGTTACCCCCCTCTCTTTCGCAGCTTTGTTTGCAGTGGGCGTGTGTATATAAATTTTTCACTGTTTCTCATATATATATTTTTTGCTGTTTGTACTCTTTTTTCTTGTTTTTTTCGTATTTTTTGTTATATTGTGTTGTCCGTATCCGGAGATTCCTTTTTGGGGGTTGGTCTCCGCCCATTGGCAAGTGTCCGGTTTGCAGGTGGCCTGTGGACCGCCGCCGTTGTCGTTGCATATGCGAATTGTGTTTTTCGCAAAGCTTTTTTTGTCCCTTTTTTGCGCTGCTTTTATTTGTATTTTTTCTTTTTAATTTTTAAAAGCGGGTCTGGTGGTTGCTGGGTGTGACAGTGTGTGGGGTGGGACGGGTGAAGTACGTAATAAGCAGGCGACGTTGTCACGCATAGCGTCCGGCAGAAGGAGGTGAGGCTGAGGATACAGAACGGTAGCGGGAGGAGGATATTCCATGCAGAATGGTACGGGTATCCAAGAGGAAATTCCAGCTATAAGAATGGGAGATATGTTCCACAACGAATGGCTGGGGTATAGGGAAGATATTCCATGGAGCAAGTGCGTGGTGGAGGGAATATCCCATACAGCATGAGGAAAGGGGCATATCCCATACAAAATGCTGGAAGGAGGGGGGTCCAGTATGGCTAAGGGGGGTCATGGGTTCATGGAAGGTGTTTTTCCCAGTAAATATTTTTTATTCATATTTTTTTCTGCCCGTAAGCAAAAAAATATTTTTAAATGAATTTTTCTATGTGTGCGACTACCGATTCGAGGGGTGGGCGGTGGTTTATATTGTTTTTTAGTGCATTTTAATTAATTAAAAATATAAATTAAAAATTGCATAATATTTTAATTGAAAATGGGGCAGGGGAGAGGAGTTAAAACAAGAGCAGATGGCAATGGATTCAAGCAGAGGAGTTCGGGAAAGGGAAGTAAAAATGGGGGATTATATCTGCAGAGAGCGCCGGCGAGACGGTTAAACTTTTTTTTGGGATTTGGGTAAGGGGTTTAAATATTTGGAAGAACTAGCTAAAGGAAGGACCATAACACTTTGGATAAACCAAAAAAACAATTTTCAAATGGTTATGAAAATGAAAACTCCGATTTTATGCAACTTTCAGGTATGGTAAAATTCTTAAATTTCCATCAAGTTTGATAGATATAAATATAACGAGTTGGAACGCTTGTGAGACGCTTCGTACGCGTCACAACCTACATATGAATATACTCGATGCTCAGTCAGTATATCTGTACCTTAGTGGTTTTTTTTCGGTTTTTTATATACTCACGCATACTGCATGAGGCAGAGTGTGCGAGCGAGAAAGAATGACAACAATAGGCAAGCATAAGCAAAGCTGCTGGACGGGGCGGGGATAGTCACTGGAAGTTAATTAATCATTCTGGATATAATAATGATCCAATCTAGTAATTCTGTGATCTGATAGATATGATCATTCCTCACAGAATAAATGCCGACTCTACTCTACACATCAAGACGGACAGACGGACATAGATTCGGCTGTTGATGCCGATCAAGAATATATGTATGAATGTACATGGGGTCGGAAACGTTTCCTTCTGTGCGTTACGCACATTGCTCCGGCCACAAACACAAAATACCCTATTTACTCTTCGAGTACCGAGAACAAAGAATATGAACGTTACCCAGCGGATATCTATTTTCCAGGGTTTTATTGGCCATAAAGAACCGGTCTATTTCAATGATCTTCAACTCAAAAAATAATCTAATTCTGCCAACAAACACTTCATGGAGTACAAGTCGATTCTTCTGACCAACAAAATTACACTCTTCTTTTCATTATTAAATCAATCTTTCCCCCACAAACCCTCTCAAATAATTAAACAATCTCTTCCTTTCTTGCTTTTTAATAATCACAAAACTTACAAATAAAACCTTAAGACGTGACCTTATATCAGACATCACGCAGACACAGCTTTAACCTTCGATACAGTAGTCCCCACAATGTAACCCAAACCCCACAGTAACCTTCGGGCAGGAGCGAAGCGGACCCTATCCCGGTCTCACCACAAAGTAGGGCTGCTCTTCGCTGGGACAGACAATGCTCTCGAATAGCCCTGGAATGGTGAAGGGACGCGGTTTGCGATCATCTGGGAGCAGCATGCTGTTCCACAGCATATTCGAGACGATGGCATGTCCACGCTGACTGAAATGAAAGCAATCGTGCGAAAAGAAACGCCAGTCGGTGAGACCATTCTGCAGTCGGGGTGCCGTCATATTTGCAAGCATCGGATGCGCCACAATGGCAAAGTCTTCCCGATGAAACTCGGGCAGACGTGCCACATCCAGATCCACCTGTTGCCAGCGTCGCAGGGTATCCATGCGTTGACTCCGCTGCGTGCGATTCAAACGATCGTTCATCAGACAGTGACAACCGACACGATGCACCACAAAGCACTGAAAGGGTATCTCCTTCATGGTCGTCAGAGTGAGCAAAATATTCGGCACGACAATCAAATTGATGAGCAAACGTGGCACATTATCACGGAGCAGTCGAAAGGCCTGCCTCAGATCGCTGGCATGTTGGTCGAGCAACGCCTGCGGTTCATCCCAGTGGCACAGATCCGAGCAAATGTCATTATTGCCTACATAAACTGTCAGCAGCTTCCAGTGTCGCTTCATGTCCACATGCGGATCACGACGCAGCAGTTCGATGAGAACTCTGGCCTGAAATGGCAAATCCCTCGACATGATCATCGGCTCGGCAATGTTGAAACGTGAATTGCGATGATTAACCACCAGACTATTGGTCACCGAAAAGCCATACAATTTCGGATTAAATATCTTTAGAATATTCGGCAGCGTCAGATACCTACGCCAGTTTTCCAGTCCCCCACCGGAAAAACTCAATGCTCGAAATTCATTGATCATATCCATGGCATTATTCGATAGTATGCCATTACCCGCCGATAGTGAGTCCCCAAAAGCCGCTATAATATCGATATCTCCAGGGCGTAACTTCTCCACGGAGGTGGGTGTTTTCTCCGATCTCGTATTGTTCATGGGACACGGAAATGGTTTCCTCTTGGAGATAGGCAGCTGTATCTTGCCCTCTCGCATGTTTCGATTCTTTAAATCTTCAATATTTCGTAGTGCAAAATTTAACATTACGCGTCGTGTGCCCAGGAATAATTGTCGTAAATCCCTGTCAAAGTTTGTGTATTGTTGTAGACCGTTTTCAAGTTTTCTGGGATCGTAGCTCTGCGCATGGACTCCTATATCCGCTAGGAGTTGATCGGAGCGATTCTGTCGTCGTGTGCGTCGACTGTTTGATGTTGAAATTGGACTCATCAGGAGTAATAATGAGCAAAACCACAAACAGGTGGCGATAGTTGTCATTTTGAGGGAATTTTTGGAAGGTTTTTTGCAGGACTTTTTAAGGGGTTTCGGAGGGTTTTTATGTCGGAAACTTTTCGGGATTTGTGGTTAGAACCACATTGCTCATTGTCTTTTAGTGGAAGAACTTTGAGCGCCTTTATTTCGTTGTAGTTGTGGATCGTATTTTATTGGATACCGTTTTCTTTACTGAATGAAATTTAAACTTCAGTTTTGGATGTGGACTGAAAATTGTTGTTGACAAATCTTTCAGCTCTTTATCATTAACTTTAAGAACTTTGAACTTCAGTTGTAGGTTCAAATAGTCTCGTAGTTTGTTGCTAGAACTTTGCTCATGATTATCCACCATGAGAATTTCAAGTTTAAGATAGTTTCATTTGCAATTAGTTCATTATAATCCACTTTAGGCAATGCTTTACTTTCATTAGCATGGTTGTTTCACACTTTATTTTCTCACAAGATATAAACACCACTTAAAACTGTCCAAGTCTATGCTAAAAGAATTTGTTTTAGGAGTTTTTTAAGTTCCATTAAGCACTTTTTTCCGAACAATCTCGGAAAAATTCTTCCCAGAAGCAAACACTTTCCTCTGTTCTTCGGTATTTCCTGAAGCTTTTTATTCAAAACGGTTTCTTTGAGACTTTATTCCGCATCCCACACGATGGACTTCTGAACGCGTTCTCATACGCAAGGCGTATACGTCGAGCGTTTTTGTACACCGCATAAATTGTTTTCTGAACATCGAGCCAGACAGACTCCACTTCACTACAAAAACAAAAACTACACTCAGAAAAAGAGAGGGGTACACAGAGGGAGAGAGAGAGACTCAGAACTTGACTTAAAAGCGTTGACCGAGACATTAACAATCATAAAGCAGCAACAACAGCAACAACAAATGACAGAGTAGCCGCCTGATAGCAGCACACAAAGTGCCCTCTGGGGTTCAAAGAGAAAAACCACAGAAAACCTCCGAAAAAATACAGTTTACTAAACAAAATAATTACCTTGATGGCAAGCAGGAGGGGGGAAAAAACATTGGATGCTACTGCCATCGCCACAACATGACAACGTACACTTATATTTCTATATAAAACAATAAATATTAAAAAATTGGAGCTCCACCAAGAGACAAAGCGCAGACACGCATGCGCAGTGGCGTAGACTTTGAGCTGACAAAAAATATTAATCCCGAAGGGGGGTTTTTCATGTCCATTTAGCTGGGTTATTGGGTCAAAATAATTTCGGGTTTGTTGGTCGTGTGATTCAGCCACAAACAGACCCGTATTAAAAGGGATCATAAGACTAGAAAATTAACTTTGAGAACCTCTTTCTAGTGGTGATTCCCCCAAAAGTCAGGAATGCGTCAAAAATACAATTAGTTTCCATTGTCAAGGTTAAGTTTTAAATATTTACAGATACATTTGAGTTTTGATATTAAATAAAATGCTAAATGAAGTACTTTAAGAGCTTTAAGTCATGAATGGGGTATGAATTGTATGATTCATAGAAAGTAAGAAGAAAGTAAGAAATGTTCGCCCATTTATATGATGACTTTCAGTACCAACATGCCCCCGTTTCTCAGTCAAAGCGCCCCTGTTTAGATCTTTCCCCCTCTTTCCATTCTCTACGCCTTTGCGTCGTCTACCCGCATCTACCGCCTTAGATCTCATCTCCATTAAAGCCCAACAAAAACCAAAAAAAGTATCAGTTTTTAAACAACAACAAACCTACCAAATATTTGCACACATTTGAGGCTTTGCTTTGACTAAAGTTTTCTAATGTAATTGTGCTTGCTCGCACTCATAGACTGAAATATGAATAGCTAATTGTTTGCTTAGATCTTTCAAGAGAGATAGATAAAGAGATACACTCTTGAGAGATACACTTGAGACGGTGACTGTTTGGGCATCGTAGTCGTATCCGTTTTTTCATATTTGGCACGAACTTGATGGCGGTTATTGCCCGGGAAGATAATTGAAATAAAATATTATAAAGTAAAGTGATCTATAAATATATGACTCAACGGCAGGGGTCTCTTGTTTTTTCGAGGCGTGTCATATGAAGGCTGCAGTAAATATACCCTGAGGCTGCTGCTGCGACTCCTCGATCATCAGCGAAGCAGAGGGGCCCGTGAGCGTGTTGGAATTTTGAGACTTCCGCTTGTCCCCAGTGTCTGGGTAACGGGTTTTGTAAAGTGCGTTGCCTGCCGTTTTACTGTTGGGGCAGATCTAGTGCTGCACAGAGTGCTGTGGTGACGCCTTTATTGTAATGAGACCCTCCAAAAGACAAGTAATGGAAAAACACTCATTGGCAGGTCCTACAGAGGTTGTGCGTCATTAAAAAGGGGCTAAAAGGTCTCTTAAATTATAAATAAGCTGATTGAAAACGATCGCGTCTCCTTCCATTTTATCAATCTTAATTATAAAGATAATGAAAGAGCTCTGTCATAAATTTATATCAGGTTTCTGCTTTTAATTGAAATTAAATTATTTTGCTTAGTTGTTCATTCAACAAAATATTCTATAGTTATTATTTAGAGTTTGAACCCTGAACCAGAGGTACAGTCGGGCCTCTCTACATTGCTTCCGCTACATAAAAAACAAAGCGACACAAACGTCAAACCTGTACTTCTACTTCCATTGTTGTTATTTCACGCAGTTCTGTGTTTGTTTTATATAATTTACGAGTTAGTAAACACGTCTAAGGTACAAGTACTTGTCTCAACTGAAGTGATTGTTTAACTAAACTGCTTTTCTTCGAGATGGTCGTCACTAGAGTGCTAAAGTGTTGTTCTCAAGAAATAAAGCAAAGAGCATTCATTAACTGAGAGTTTAGGGAGGGAAGTATTAGCAAGAAATATTATATTTATATTTAGATTTCTTATTCATTTTGTATGCTTATTTAAAGAATAACCATTTAATGGTAAAGATAATGCAAGTCTGTAGCAGTCAGGTTACGTTTTTTTGCCACACTTCCCCAGACGGTTCCATAAAATACGTTTAAACTGAGTCATTCGGTAACTATTCCACTTGAAAGAATAGTTGTAAAAAGGTTTAAGGAAATGAGAATTTCATGAATTGGTTTAAGGCACAGGCTGTCTAAGATATTCCTACATTAAATCAATCATCGATTAGATCACTTTCTAGCAACTAACTTATTATACAAATGCAATATCAATTATCGCTTACAATATCTGAGCGTTAACCTGGACAGAGAACTTTCATGGCATGGAAATAAATTGTATGCGAATTGCCCTTTTATACGACTACTACTAAATCGAGTCAAGTGGATTATTATGCATAGATTAAAAGAGCAATTAGGGTTCAAAGTTCTCTCATTTAAAGAATATTAATATTCCACAAGTTGTAGAATTAATCGCAGCGGTGTCTGATCTATACAAATTCCTCTAGATTTTCCCTTTCTAGTTTTACTGTCAAATGAGTCTCAATTAAATAAATGCCACTTCGCTGGCTGAGTGGAGTTGTTGTCTGTCGTCTACGCTGTCGATCAAAATGCAGCAGTTTCATTTCATTTAAACCTCAATTGAGGGATCATTAAGAGGATTGCCACTGAATGTTGCTATGTGCTTGTCATGGCGCAACATTGTTGCAGTGCTTTTGTTGCTAGGGCAAAAGCTCCACGTGATTATATTTTAATGCTAATTGTGGTTTAATTAGCCAACATGCTTGTTATCTGGCGTATTGGCAGCTTCTGTTGGTGGGCTCCGTATTTGTCCAAGAAATCAACACCATTTTGGGTTAGCTTTTGCGTCTAGCGTTTCTGGAGCTTACATAAAAGCTTTAAAGAGCGAAAGCTTTGAAGATCGGCTTTGTTTCGGTAAGCGTGCGAAAAAAGCTTAAAACATTGCCAGATCGCTTGAAGAGCGGCAAAAATTGTAACGATTTAATATTAATCGAATTGTTTTAATAAGCCAATAATTATAATTGGTATAAAAAGCGTACAGGCTTTAAAAAGTTGAAATAAATAAATAGTTTTTATTGTCTTTAAAACTTTTTAATTATACATCATTTTATATGAGTTTTTATTATTTTTATGTTCCATGCAATTTCTTAAATGACAAGTTTTCCATTTTACTTTTCCATACCTATGATTTTTTTATATTTATTCATTTTTAAAACCTACTTAAATCTCTCTATTCCATAGAAAATTTTTCCACATAGCGTACACAATTGGCAAATACGACGCAAAAAAAAACGAGAAGGAACGTGTGAGACGCTTCTTACGCGTCACAACTTTTATACCCGGCACTCAGTACTACTTCTGCACCTTAGCGGTGTTTTGTCAAATTTAACATTTTTCTTCACCTGTCATATACATCTACAACACTACTCACACCAACACGCTCCGTTAGCTCGCCGCCCTCCCTTGCCACTGCAAATTAATTTCTTCGTTTGGTTATAATAATGATCCAATCGGAATTTGATGATCTGATAGATATGGCCATTCCCTACGGAATGGCGTTTTTTGTTTTCTTTTATCTTCAAAATTGTAGAGATTTGGGAGGTTTTCGCCCTTTTGCGGGGGCGGAAGGGGGCGTGGCTCAATTTTGAAATACACTTGTAACAGTGTGAGCCTACAGAAGTCTGGATGCAAAATTTGGTGGCTCTAGCTTTTATGATCTTTGAGATCCAGGCACTCAACAAGACGGACGGACAGACGGACGGACAGACAGACATGGCTCAATCAACTCGGCTATTGATGCTGATCAAGAATATATATACTTTATGGGGTCGAAAACGTTTCCTTCTGTGTGTTACATTCATTCTTTTTGTGCACAAATACAATATACCCTATTTACTCTTCGAGTACCGGGTATAAAAACTTTGAACCATAACGAAAGTCCTCAACAAATGTCAACAATTATACACAAACAAAAATACCCAAGCCAAAACACGAGCATTAGTTATTGTTCAAAGCCTGTATAAATAAACGTTGTGTAACGAGTATTACAAATTCATTTACCCAATGCAGCTTTTAATTGCAGTTTAATTATTCTAATATTGCGATATATTAGCGCAGGGAAAACAAGAACGCGCAAGCGAGATAGAGATGGAGAGACAAGCAACGAAAGAGCGACAAAGAAGAAAAACGTGTCAGTTGGGGGGAAAATGGCTTGTAATTATAATCGACAAATGATGGAAGATATGGCACAGGGCGTAGTCATAATAAAAATAAAACAATGTTTTATATTTTATACACCATTTTTTTGTTCGAATTTGATTGGTTTAATAATCGTAATGCAGGCAATTGAAAGACAGACTTCGCGTCAGGGCGGGGGCACAACAAACCCATAAATTATTACAAAACTCCAATAACCTCGCGCTGCAATTGTCCAGCGCCAGAGGGAGCAGCATAGTGCGGAAAAGACAGAGAGAGGAGAAACGATAAAGAGAGATAGAGCGATTGGATGAGCTGAAGAAATAGAGACCGCAGACAGAGGAGAGCGCGGAGCAAAAGTTGCATTTTCATTTTGCATATACAAATTTATTTTATTTTGAAAGATATACCGCATTATCATTACTCTGTCTGTTAAATTAGTAAATATAATTCAGTACTCTAACCATTAAATTATAATTTTTAAACGCATTTTGAATGATAATTTCTATTTTCTAAGTATTGATATTATCGGATTTATTTTAAATCTTCCCGAGCAAAATCTAACAAACGTTTCATAGTTTCTTTCTAGATTCTGCTCAAATATTATCTTT